CAATACGATTGTGCTTAAAACACTTTTCAAGCCTTTCCTACCCAGGCATCTCCAGAGATACTTTACCCATAGGCTTCAGCTTGAGCTACGCAAATTGATTTCGTTTGAAAGGGAACAGGTAAAAAGGATGTATAAAGGATTCTAGTTTGCCACGTTAAAGCTATGGAAGGAATCCCATTTCGGCTGGCAACTCCTTGCCAATTGAACAATAAAGTCATAATACTCTTTTCGTGTTCTTCTTACCCAGCAGCAAGGCTGTGTGAGCCGGGCTAAATGAAATAAAATGCAATAAATAACAACTTAACACCTTTGGCGCAAAATAGACAGAGCGAGCATAAAAGGGAACTGCCGTCGAAGGAAGTCCTGGCCCCCTCTTACACACACACACACACACACAGCTCACAAATGCGCAGGCAATGCAAAAAGCAAACCGTAAGCGCAGACTAAGCCGATTATAGCACGAAAGTAACGGCAATGATGGGCGGCATGAGAATAAAGGAGATACACTAAAAGAAAAGCCATTTGCAAAAATGAAGCAGAGATATTTTTAGAACCTTAAGCCTTACATTCCTACAAACATCTAGTAGTATAATTATTCGACTAATTCAAGTTTATATACTTGTTAAATAGAATGTAAAAACAATACTTTTCTTACTGTGCACAAAGAAGCAAGAGGTCCTTGGCTGGAAGTGCGTGGCGGGCAGACAGAGACGCAGACCCAGATATAGACAAGGACCGAGGACGAGGAGTCAGGCAGGCAATGAATTATCGCACTAGCTGCGCCAGCAGTCGAGACAAAAGTGTTGTAAAAAATGTAGTACTATTAATTTTCTTTGCATATCTTATTGTATCTTCATAAACAGACACGCACACACACAAAGTCTGGGGGAAAATGGGAAAACAGGGGGTGGGGGGGGGAGGCAGAGCCCTCAGGAAACTGGCTTAGTGCTAAGAGATTCTAATTCAGTTGAGCAGAAATAAATTACTTACCGTAATTGTTTGCCATATAAAACTGTAGCAAAATACCACTGAGAGATCTTTCGGATTGCCGTCCACATTTACCCAAACCCTCTCCAATTGCTTTGAGCCATTTCTATGAAAAGGATTCGGTACATCTTCGCAGGGTCTCTTATTCGCTGATAGCTTTAATAATTTTTGCAAAATTTATATACACTTGTTTACTTTTAATTTATCTACCGCACACTTATAGTTGACACGAGTGCAAATTAATGCCCTTTCATTTTGTGCTTTATGTGAGCATAAATAATTGTGCAAAGGCAGGCACAAAATTGCGTCGATTACAATTTTTAATTATTTTTTAATGAACTACAAGCGACAAAAAATATTTACAATAAGTATGAGGGGGCTGGTTAAAAAAACCAGTTCTTTTCGTTATAAATTTATGCATGTTTAAAGTGAATTTATTGCATGTTTAATTGTGGATAATGTGTCAGACGCAGGCGACCTCGTTCCTCCCTTCACCCCACCGTTGGGTAATGAAAATTTTCACTTTTATGATCTCAGCTCAGCTGGGTGTAGCTGCTGGAGTAATAAAATCATGACTGTCTGGCTTAAGACTGGATTAAATTGGAATTGTCTGCCTTAAAAGGTCTTAAAAGAGCTATTTACCACTAGGTTAATAATGTAAATAAGCCGGTGATAGTAATTTCAGTATCATCTGATGTAGTATTAAGCTCACTTTGCCTAATTAAATCATTGAAAACGGTATCGTTAGATAAGAATAAAAAATACCTGTTACAGAACTTTATTATTCTTTATTCTGATGTGGCTGCTGCTTGAGGCTTTATTAGCACCCAGTGAGCCGCACATATCCACTATAAACTCAACGGCACCAAGTCCCTCGCCTTCGAATGTAGTATAACTTATAATGACTTTGACTAAGTTTTGAGGCAAAAATGTTGGCCAATATTCAAAGGAAGGCTGGATGTTTTTACATAGTATTCACCCTTCTTAATGCAGTCCACTCCGGCGATAGGTAAATTAGAATCGACATTCGGTAATATCAAATATTTTCTTACATAGTTGATCATCATTTCGCAAGCAGTCGTGCGCACCTTGATATTTGATTGAATCCATTCTCCATTTTTAAATGTAAATATATCAATCGCACCCACATGGGTGTCATCAATGTCTTCAAGGAAAGTGATAGTTCCGTTTAGTAATCGTTTTTTCCAATCAGCCGAAGCGTAGACTCGATCAAAGTCTCTCCCTCTCCTTTAAAGAACTTAATCGACTGAAATTGGCCTTCCATTTTGGAATCTACAGAGCCCTGTAAATGCAAATTAGTCCCCAAAATGTAGTCAGTGCTAATGCCAATCCTGCATGCAGGATCCAATCCTGCAGAAGGACGTAAACAATTTTTTAAACTCACCGCTAATACTGCCCCAGGATCAGACAAACCTTCAGCCAACAGAGAAGCATTTTTGTTATTTCAATCGCTCTAATCGTTTGACTTCTTATATATATTGACTGTTGCATGTCCGAGCCCAGGCAGTGGTTAGATTTGACATACAATAAAGTACTCAAAAGGGGCGGTTGTGGCTTACTTAACACGACGTGCATCGTAATTGATAAGGACTAGAAACTAAACATCACCTAACTTAATAGGAGATAAAACATGCATTTCGTACGTAGAACCCCAATTATCGGGCATGAAAAGTTATCTGATAATTCAGGAGGATGATTTTAATGGTCACTCCTCGAGTTATTTGATCAGCGAAACCAATTTTTCGGGCCATTCGCTGCCACCACAGCACCCGGGCGATATGCACTTACGGCTGTTACGTGCTCTTGTTGGCTCCCAAAATCACGCATTAGCTGCCAGTTTGCACTTAAAGTCGTAAATTTATTTAAATATATGGAAGGCACCGCGCAGAACAAGGTCCCACACGTTCGCCGGGTGAAGAGCAGGCGCCGTTGTAAAGCAAAATTTATATTAACTTCATTTTGCCGCGGCGGCTGCTGCTGCTTCTGCTCGTGCCTGTGCCATGCAGTCATTGCATAACTCATACGCACCGTGTGCCGGGGACCGTGCCGTGAGCCAGTCAGTCAGCCAGTCGCGATGCGTGGCGGTACTCCAGTCAGCCAGTCAGCCAGCGAGCCAAGCAGCCAGCCAACCAGCCAACCAGCCAGCCAGCCATATCACCAACACAAAGCGAAGAAAGGGCCTCGAAAATGGCAGCCAAGAGAATTTTAAATTACGCTTTTGAGTGTCGACTGAGGCTGTGGCTGAGGCCGAAATGCAGCAGCCGCGTTGCAACTGCAGCGGAAATGGAAATGGTAATGGGGATGGGAACGGGCAACCAGCCACCCCATTGCGTGCATTTAATTGCAAATGAAGCAAGAGGAGCGCGGCCAAAGCGCTGACAATGCCAATTGCCAGCTTCAACTCACTTCCACCCTGCCCATTCCATTCGCATCAAAAGCGACTGCAACTGCAACTGCAACTGCAACGGCGAACTGCAAATGACGTTAATCAAAGTTGTTGAAATTGATAGCATTGTTTGTAGTGCACGCCCGGCCGACAAACGGCAAAATGCATTTTAAAGTGTGCTAAATGTGTTAATTAAAGTTACCCCTGCTGCTGCTTACACGGATTTGCTTTCGCTGCGGCTCATTGGACGTGATCATCGGTTGGGTTCCAAGGCGGAAATCCCATAAATAAATAAGCGGGTAACCAGCTAGGTAAAAACGCAGCAGATTTGAATTAGAAACGCTGCTAGGGAAGCACCACCAAAAGGTAGATCCTGGGAAATTGCAACTTAGTTGCTGTGGCAGGCAATAAAATAAAGTCTTAGCCAAGCGCCAGACAACAGGGAAAGAGCCAGAGCAAGAGCAGCAGTGGCAAGAGGCACTTTTAATTTGTTGTGCAACAAATTAGCATTTATTTTCATTAGGATTCCAACTTGCTGCTGGGTGGCTCCATTTGCCCCTCGTCCCATCGTTCTGTTCCGCGTTTCCATTCGTTTTTTGTCAGCTCTTCTGAGCGTTGTTTGCTTTTAATTATAAATACATGTGCGCGAAGTGGCATTAACCCATTGTTATGGTTGTATCACATTATAAGAGGAGGACATTTATATTTATACTATATGTTCATATTATACATGCATAAAGTTGGAATTTTCTAGCCAGTGTTTTCCATTTAGTCGCTTAGTTATTTGGTCTTTTGAAATTCTAGAACTCTAGAGAAGCAATATAACATTTAGTCAAAATAATAAACACTACCCTATATAAAGTCACCTTTTTAAGTATTTCATGATGCCAGAGACCTTAATCAAAGATTGTTGTACTTGAAGTACTCTAAGATTTACTTTACTCAATTGTTTCATAAAAGACTATTGCGAACACTTTACAACTTTTACTGATAAAAACACAATGTCAACAAGATCGATAACTCAATTTAAGTAAGAGATCCGGCTTGAAGGACCAAAGGCAAAGTAGTGAAATAAAATACATTTTTTTAATTTATTTTATTAGAAAAGTAAATTAATTTTAAAATTTCTCCTTTTAATTAAATTCTTTCAAATATTTTTAAGATCACACTCTCCTAAGCACTTGGATCTCCGCATGACGCGATCCATATGTTATCCATGGTGTCCCGCCAAGGGAAATATTTGGGAGGCGTTGAGAAATAAATTTTTGTTATGTTTAGTTTACGTTCAAGCAACATAATACGAAATAAATATATGTAAATCAATATATAAATAAATATATATAAACAAATATAAAATTAATATAAATAACAGCAATTATTCTAAACAGATACAGATGCCTGCTGTTAACAACATTTCATTTGCTTCACATCTTGTTATCTAACAAGATATTTATATAAGGCATAAATATATCGGTTATGCCGTCCTTAAAGTTCTGCACAAAAAGCTTTATCCTCACATCAGGAGCCATATTCCACCCCTTGTCGTGAAATGGGTTAATGCTGCACATTTCCTCGAAACAAAGAACTGTACGCGGAATTCTTGCATTCAATTAATGCGTGTGCGAGTATAGAAAGCATCGTCGCGTCGCCGCTGCTGACCATCGTCGTCGTCATCCTCATCGTCATTCCCATACCCATAGCCATACCCATGTCCATACCCATAGCCATGGCCATTGCCAGCGTCATCATCACCTTGCCGTCGCTGGGCATTATCCAAGTAAGAGCTCACGCCCGACTGAGCGCCCAACGAAGCTGAAGACCACGGTGCGGATGAGTAACGCTGCCGGCCATAAGACCAAGGATGCCGACTGCCGTGGCGGGAGTTCGTCGTGCCCGTATACGAGTACGGATTGTAGTGGTGCTGATAGTAATCGGACCCGGGCTCCGACTCAAAGTCGGGCCGGGAGGATTGGTCGATGTGTGTGCGATTAGGATAGAAATCATCAGCGGTATGGGGACGCAGAGTCGGAGGTCTTCTCTGCCCGTAATTATAATCATCATCATTGATGTGGTGGCTCTGGTAAGGGTCTGGGTGCGGTCGGTGGTGGTGGTGGTGGTGGTGATGGTGGGGCTTATTAGTCGGAGCTGGTACCCCGCTATAGGGCGATTGCAGTACCACCGTGGGCACAACAATGGAGGGCAGTGGCGGCGCACTGGACTCAGCAGCCGGAACTAAGGCAGCCTGATTCCAAGATGACGCCGCCTGCGACTCCGACTCTGCCACCGATTCCGTGGCCGTGGTGGAGGTCTGTTCGCGTGAGTTCATCTCGGCTAATTTGTTGAATCGGTTGCGAGTGCCGCTGGCGGTGAGCACCATCACAGTGGGATTCATGTCCGCTATGTGATCCTTCAGGCAGTTCTGCAGCATGTTCACGAAGAAGAAGAACGAGAGCAGCGTCAGGGCGTTCATCACGGAGCCGGTGCTCTTCTTCGATTTCTTTGACGACTTGGACGGCGCCGGCTGTGGAGGCGGATGCGGATGCGGTGGCGGTTGATGGTGGTGCGGTGGCGGATATGCGGGCGCACTGCCGGCACTGGGATGGTAGGAGGAGAAGCTGCCCGTGGGCGGGTCATGCTGCAGCTCGTACTCAATGGACGGCTCGATGGCGCTGCGTATTTAAATTTGCATTAGCCGGAGGAGCCTGGGTTGACTTCAACATTCATCAGGACACGGAGAGAAAAGTTTTACAATACTTATTTAGACGTTTGAATCACTTAATACATTATTTGTTCTCATTCAAGGGCGACTTTTCTCTCCGTGTGCTGATGGCTCTACTACTCTTACCCGTAGCCAGAGTGTCCACTGCCTCCCGACATGGCCGTATAAGCACCGTTGTGGTTGCTGGCAGCCGCCAAAAGCGACGGTCGTCCCTGCTGGCCCAGTTGTCCCAGCTGGCCCAGACCCTGGTGCCCATGGATGCCGTGTTGGCCGATGTGGTAATGGTTCGGAAAGTAGTTGCTGGGGTAATAGTGGTTGGGATAGTAATGCACGCGCTGCGTTTGACTGCAAGAAATGGTGGAGAAATCGGGGAGAAACCAGGGAATGAGTGGTGCTGAGTGATTCTGCAATCCATTCGCTATTCTCTGCGCTCTTGTTTGAGTCCCATATTTGCGTGGCTAAGTGCCTGAGGTATCAGTCTAGGCCGCTGCGGCCACCTTTAGGCCGCGGTTGATGTCAAAGTGGATGCTTCTGACACTTTGCCATATGATCTTTAAGTCGATATTAAAAACCTGCAATTGTTGTATCCTTAGTGATACAGATTTAGTTTAAATTAGTCAACATTTATCAGGAAAACGATTTGAAAAACGGATGATATTAAATCATCTAGAAGTATGGATAGATTTTGAAAGGAAAAAAAACAATACCAAAATAAATTGGATATAGTTTAATTTGTAGAAATTGAAAATTTCTGTAATTTATCTCTATAATCTTTCTTCTGTAAACCTAAGCATCTTCAGATAGTTAACAAAATGCATTAAAACAAATCGAATAGTAAAACCAGAATTCAATTTTCACTACCAAATCGAAATATTACACGTCACGAGTTATAGAACCCACATTCTGTAAACATAATTAGTTTGAAGAATCCAATTATGAACCTCACAATACATCCTCACATAATTAAATTAATTTCATATTGAGGTATCGACAAGTCCGGAATGACAGTTGCCTGAAGTTTCCACTGCTTGGGGTCATGGCTTACTCATAATTATTTCCCGAAATGGCTGACAGCAGCGGATGTTGTTGCTGCTGCTGCTGCTGCTGGTGTTGTGGAAAACTCTGCTGATTCGACATCAGGCCCAAGGACATTTTCGCCGTCACTGAGCTCACAATTTAATTGCTAATTGATTTCGACCAAACTGGCGCTCGTATGATTATCACTTGGTGCTCACTGCTGCTTAACCTGCCATAAACCGGTGGCAACTCGACTGCAGAAGCCGCAACCCGGAGGTGGAGAACATTTGGGAGCCACAGCAGCAGCAGCAGGACGTGGTGTCGCAGTCGTAGTATCAGTTGGAGACGGAGACGGAGACGGAGATGGCGATGGAGCGCCCAACCGCAAGTGACAATGTCGCTTAGGCAACTGGGCAAAGCCTTTGCCAGACACTTGGCTGGCAGGCGGCTATTAACGCAGGTAAATGGAGGGGACTGTCATTGTCAGCTGCTAAGTGAGTTTGGCTACAACTGGCAACTGGTAACAGGTAACTGGCAACTGCAACGGCCTCTGCACACCGCCCAACGTCAGAGATGGTACAAGGTACTTGAGGCAGGTGTGCCCAATTCTCTCAATAACTTTAGTGGTACAATTATTTGTAAATTTGATAAAAATTAAAAATATTTAATAAACTAAGAGCTTTAAAAATATTTTAAATTGTGTTTATTAATATAGATATGAATAAGACATATAGAGGAAATGTAATTAAGTGTAAAAAGGGAAAGTAAGACAATTAAATTTGACTGTTTTGAGGATTCATCAGGAATATTAAACATAGAAAGAGTAAAAATACCATTAAAAATATTTATATGGTTTTGACACTGAACTGTAACGATTTAACATTATAAATGTGTTGAATCAGTGTTGATGAGCGTGTTTTGGATTTGTATTTCTAAGTAATCAAAAAGTAACAAAGGCTTTAAGGATACCTTTCTAAAATATTAATGTCTTTATGACACGACATTTAGGAGTTTCTATTAAATCTCAAATTTCTCAAAAACTAAAAGGAAAGAAGATAATTGCCGTCTTTTGGGGTTATACGAATGTATTCTTAGCATTTTTAAACGATGGAAATTTAAAGAATGTGGTGCAATATAACCTTTACTAACTTTTCAAATATTCTGTTAATTTTTATTGATATTATTTAAGATTACTATACTGGTTTTAAGGTACATTCCCTTATAAGTTGTTGTTAAATGTTGTCTGAATGTTTAATTATAAGGTACACATTTATCCACACAATAAAGTTTTTAAAGTGTTAATAATTATGTACATTATAATTACCCTTCAGGAAATGTATTTCCCCAAGGTACAATCAAATACTCTATGGCTTCAACAAAATATTTGGTACATTTTCCACATCACTGGCATTGTACCGGTTGACAATTGCCGGTAAAGTGTTTTGTGGCAACGCCGGCCAACTGACACACACCTGAATTGGAGCGTTGCGTTGCGTTGCGTTACATGCACGCGCTGCACATTTCGGCCAGGTAGACAATTAGTGCCCGACAAAGGGCGAACCAGCCTGCTCCTTGGCATCTTGGCACTGCACACTCCCCCACACGCCTCCGTCCCCGTCCCTGTCCCTGATCCAGGCCGCTGTCAGTGTTAATGACGCTGCTGTCGCTTGTTTATTGCATTAAAAGCTCTATGGATGCAGCGTTATGCATCAGAAATTGTCATAATTGTGCCATGTCTGGCCCTGACTTTGTCGCTGTGCCTCCCAGAGCCGGCACCAAAATGGAGCTCTCGGTTCTTGTGGTCTCTCGTGCGGTTAGTCACTCGAACCGAGCCTTTTGGCCAGTCCCCTCAGCCGCCCCAGCTCGATGTTGTTCCTGCTCCAACTGCTGCCTGCTGGCTTTAAGATTTATGAGCAGGGCTAATAGTTTTCATTGCCAGAAAATATTTATGCATTGAATAGGATTTTAAGGGGATATTGTGGTTTTGAAAGGGTTTATGGGAGATTTCAGTAATCGAACTTTTTAAAATCGAAAAACATTTGTATATAACTTTTAATAGTCTCATCATAATTTTAATTTAATAAAAAAATGAGATCCTTTTTTGTTATAAAATAATATATATTAAAGCTTTAAAATTTATATTTAAACCCTGCAGACACTTAAGCAAAAGTATATCCAATTCGATCATTTCAAAAATCATCTAATATTTCCCTCCCTGTTGTCTTTCGTATAACCGGAAACATTAGACTGTAATAACAAATATTTAACATTTCCGCAGTGCCAGAGACGTCGCAAAAAAAATAAACAACAAGAAAAACAACATTAGCTGAATTTCGCTGAATCAAAAGCATATAATAAATTGCCAAATGCTGCTGCACTGCAACTTGTCCACACATTTCCAGCTTTGTGTAACGCTTTGATTTGTCGCCGCAGGAAATGTAGAGGGAAAAAACTAAACAGAACGAAGGAACTATGGGAGTTTTGCTGATGCCGCAAAAAATCCAACAAAAAATTATATATCAAGGAAGCAAATCAAAAAGTCAAATGCCTTGAGGGGTTGAAAATTTGAGAACTGTGGGTAGAAATGGGAGCTGGGCTTGGTGTTTGTATTTAGCTTTTGTTGCCCGGCGCCGTTGTCAACATATTTCAGGACCTTCGAGTCCGCAACGGCGAGTCAATAATAAGTTAACTTGGACATATTGTAGCTGGCCAGCAAGAATTCTCTAAGATTTTTATGGCCAACGAAATTGGTCAGTGAGCGAGCGGCCGGCGAAATTTAATGACTGGAAAATGAGGCATTTAAGCCAAGTGCCAAGGAAAGTTTTCCTCTTGGCGAACGTGCCGGCAAGTGCCATTTATTTATGGGTCTGCATCTGTATCTCCAGCTCGGTCTCGGTCTGTGTCTGTTCGAGTCCTTGTATCCACGTATCTGTGTATCTTTGTGCCTCGCACTGAAGGATGTGTTCGAAGGACAATCGTTGGTCTGCTGCGACGTGGAGATGGAGCGAAGGCATACATTAATTGCCGTGATTAACACGTAGAAGCATTAAATTATACAAAATAAACGTAAGAACAATTATGTCGCACTATTTACTACTCTTTTTGGATTGCTAATTGTATTTTATTGTAGATATAAGTTGTAAAGTATATAAAAAAGCTTTTATATTTAAACCTTCTTGTTTTTCTACAGATACTACAGAAAGAATATGATGAAATAAGCTTTGGCAGTAGATTAGATTATCCTTTCTCATAGAAAATATATAGTATTTTAGTAAAAAGCACATATTCACTCTTCAGAATTTGACAAACTTCATCTTCAATTCCGAGTGCCTTTTGCAAGGATATCAGTACAAGGCCTAGGACTTTGCCACATCAATTATCGCATATGAAGCCAGTGCAACAGACCATCCTTTTGTGTCTGCGGGGGTGCATAAATCATGGGGCAACATTAAGTCCTTGAAACCCCTAAGCAGCACCCACTCCTCCGCCCGCTAAACAAACTTTTCGACTGGCCGGGAAACAAAAATAAAAACTCGTTAGGCAGGACTCGAAACGAAGACGCGGAGACTACGTGCCTGGACTTTGACTGCGACTGGAACTAGCGGGAGCTCACACAGTGTCAAGTGTAAAGAAGAACTACTAATCAGCAGTTAATTCTTATCTTTAATTAAGTGCACGTCCCACCAACCTCTCTGGTTCCCCTCTTGGAGGGCAACAGCGGCGACGACGGGCCAGAGTTCTTGGCCACGGCTACGACTCCGACTTTGGATCTGGCGTTTATGGCAGGAGTCCTGGGAGTCCTGGTGCTACTACTTTTTGCTCGACGGCCAACACTTTTGTTTGTCCGCGCTCTCGGCATTGTCCTGGACAAAGGCCAGCGCCGGCTTTGTCCTTACCCGTCTCTGGTCAATTTAATGAAATAATCTAAGCAAACACTCCTGAAAATTAAGCAGTTTTTCGCCCGCTTCCGCTCTCAAATTAAAAATGTAATGCGTTCGCCTTTGTTTTGTCTTTTGCCGGCGAATAATTAAATGTGCGAAAGAAGTTGCAGCAACATTAACCCGACCCGACCCGACCCGATCCGATCCGGCTGGCCAATTAAAAAGGCCACGCAACAATGGCCAAGGCGCTCATGCATGGCTTATCCTCTGGCTGGCTCAACCCCCTTGCTGCTGGCCAAGATGCTGAAAGTCCCGCGATAAACTTCGGCCGGAGTCAGATATCTGGGGTAGTCCATAAGTCATTACCCCCATCGAGGCACACCCCACAGTAGGTAGGAGCACAGGTAGCCAAAGTTGCTGCAGCTCTCAAGTTGTTTGACAAACAATACACAACATGGCCGTCGGAGGAGGGCAGCACTGCTGGTGTCCTGGCCAAAAAGGAAACTGGTTAGGGTTGGGCAGGTGCAGCAGGGAACGAGTGCCGCACTCAAGCGTGCCCGTCACATTTTTGCGCTTTTATATGGAGTCCCTGCCCCCCAGGCCGGTTCGGTGGTTCCTTCTGCCCCAGCGAAGTGGTGCGCGCCCCCAAAATGTGGCATCAGCTACATCAGATACATGAAAACATTTTTTCACCAGTGAAAAGCTGCACTAAAAATAAAATAAAAGATATTTTATTGAAGTGCGACGCTGGAAGGGAGTGAGAGGGAAGCTTGCCACCTTGCGACTCCTACCTGTCGCGCGCAGATTAATTATGCATCGCTAAAATGCTAAGCCAGGTAGCACCGTGCACCGTGCAGCAAGCTCCAAAGCACCGTGGCATCGCAGTGGCCCAAAGGCAAATGGTTAAGCGTGAGGGGAGTATGTAAAAGCCAAGTACAAGCCACAACAAAATTAAAATCAAAATAAAATCACAAAAAGTGGTTTTGGGCAAATATACGGCAGTGAAATGGAAAGATGTTCAGATAACCTACAGTGAAGCATACGCTAACTGGAATGGAATGGAATGGATGCATTTAAGAAATCTGCAAAAGGTGTAGGTTAACTTAATGGCCGATTAATCACATATTTAATAGGTTTTTTATTAAATATAAATGAGAATAATTACAAATTTTAAAGGTTGAAATAAATGTTTATTTTGAACGAAGTTGAGGTATCATTTCGTTTAATTTAATGTGTTTTTTATAGTTTATGTGT